CGGGCTCGCGTGCCCCGCGGGCTGCGCCTGCACCGACCCGCACACCGTGGACTGCCGCGACCGCGGGCTGCCCAGCGTGCCCGACCCCTTCCCGCTGGACGTGCGCAAGCTGCTGGTGGCCGGCAACCGCATCCAGCAGATCCCCGAGGACTTCTTCATCTTCTACGGAGACCTGGTGTACCTGGACTTCAGGAACAACTCTCTGCGCTCGCTGGAGGAGGGCACGTTCAGCGGCTCGGCCAAGCTCGCCTTCCTCGACCTCAGCTACAACAACCTCACCCAGCTGGGCGCCGGCGCCTTCCGCTCCGCGGGGAGGCTGGTTAAGCTGAGCTTGGCCAACAACAACCTGGCGGGCGTGCACGAGGCCGCCTTCGAGACCCTGGAGTCGCTGCAGGTGCTGGAGCTCAACGACAACAACCTGCGCAGCCTCAACGTGGCCGCCCTCGATGCGCTACCCGCGCTGCGCACCCTGCGCCTGGACGGGAACCCCTGGCTGTGCGACTGTGACTTCGCCCACCTCTTCTCCTGGATCCAGGAGAACGCGCCCAAACTACCCAAAGGTGAGCAGGGAAGCTGGCCTGGGCTGGGGCGCTGGAGCGAGCAGGGAGAGACACCCCCACCACGCACACACACCAGTTTCAGGTTGTGTCCGCAGGAGGAGGAGGCTTGGGGTCGCGCCAGCAACTGCCTAGTGAGAGCGCGCAGGATGGAACTCCACAGGGTTCCTAGCCTGAACTTCTCCCCTGGGAAAGGGTGCGGAGGGATACAGTCTTAGAGCTCCGAGTTTCTTGGCGATAAAGCGATGCTTCGGTCCTTCTCCCTCTGTCAATTCACCTTCCCAAGTTAGCATCCTGCGGGTGCACTCCACGTCCTGGTCAAGATCGTCTCACCCGGCTTTGTGTCTTAGGAATGGTGGGGGCGGGTCATCCAACAACCTTAGGTCCTTCTTCGTGGAAGGCGCCTTACCATGTGGAAAGCACAGCCCCCCATTCCCCTACCTGGGTACCTGGAAGATGGAGAGAAGCCGGCCAGTTCTGTGGTTCTGGTCTCTTTGTTGCTTCCCAGCTCGGGCTGCTCCTCTGATGAAAAGGCTAAGAATATTCCTGGTGAGGGCGCCGGGCGCGCAGTCATGATTTATGGCTTTATGGGTTTCAGCCTAGATGTGAAAAAAGCCAAATAGAAATGTTGCAGGCTCCCAACTCAACTTTGGGAGTAAAGAACCCAGGTAGATAGTCCTGCAAAGGATCCCAGTGTGCATTCTCCACCATATCCTGACCTCATTTCAGCTCCTCGGTGCTCAGCCAGGTCAGGTGCCTTCCCTGCTTTCTTGGAGACCCTTCCAGTGCCCCCCAGGACACACCTATCCGTCTGAGGATGGAGCCCAAGGGCACAGGGAGTGAAGGGGCCCAGGGAAGGCCAGCAGCAGGGAGGCAAAGGCGGAGCTGAGAAGCAGGGCACCCCAGCAGCCATACGGTTGCGCCCCAGGGCCAGGGCGGGACTGGGGCAGGTGGATGCCCTTAGTTTGGGTGGACTTCAGTCTGTGAGCGTTGGTGCCCACCATGACCTCTCAGAACTAGATCCCTCCCACCTTGCCCTCCAGGCTTGCACCAGTACATCAGGATGGCCACTCCTCAGCAGGTACAGACCCCTGTGCTGGTACTTTCACTGCCTTGAGCAAGTCCTGGGAAGATCCTGCTTGCAAGGGGCAGAGTTCCTCTACTTAGTCCTCGGTCTCCTGCCTGGTTCCCCAGATCCCTAGACGACATTCCTGGCATCAGGACTGGTGGGTGAAGACCTCACTGGGGATGGGCTCTCCTTGGTTCTGGTTGCTCCTGGCACTGGGTTCTGCGGAGCTGGCATTGCTTACCCCATGGTTGGCAGGGTGGTAACCAGCTCTGTTGGTTCCCTATTGTCTCGCAGATGAGGGTAAGGTGCCCTGGAGTCAGGAGTGTTCCTCCAGCCCCATAAATGCTTGGGTGCCTGGGACCTTGGATAGCCACTGATTATCCTTTCTGTGCTTTGATTTCTCTATATCTGGAGTAGTTGAGTGGATTTCTGAGATCTCCAGATTATAGGGATGAAGGTGGACACCACATGAGTTTGGGAGGCTGGGGGAAAGACAGTCAAGCTCAGAGCAGGAGACAGTGTCCACATCCCTGGGGAAAGGGCAGAGCAAGGGGAGGGCTGGTGTCACCCAGCTGAGAGAGGACAGAGGCAGCTCGAGGGCACCTCCCAGGGCGCAGTGCCCAGGGCAGATCCGGTCTCACTGCAGCTGCCGGTGTTGTGTGGCCAGAGCGGTGTCCCCACACTGAACCAGAGGCCAGGTGGGTGGTGGAGGAACTGCCCAGCCCTTAAAATTCAAGACCCACGTTCAGATCTGGACTCAGATTTATGATCCTGGGCAATCCTTGACCTCTCTGAGCCTCAGTTTCCCTGCCCTTAAAGTCAGAATACAGTGAGTGTCCCCGACTTTACTTGCTGTGAGTTTCAAGGAGACCGACCCCGTGAAGGGCATAGTAGAGGCTTCTCAGCAGGTGTCTGTCCCCTGTCCTCCTGCATGTGTGCTGCTTCTGAGACTTCAAAAACACGTCTAAAAATTTTAATTGATGCATTGCAGTTGTACATATTTATGGGTGCAGTGTGCTTATTCCGTACACGTGCACGATGTGTAGTGATCAAATCAGGGCAACTAGCATGTCCGTCTCCTTAAACATTTATTGTTTCTTTGTGCTGGGAACCTACTAACTCATCAAAATATGAAATAAGCTGCTGTAAATGATAGTCACTGGGATATGCTGTAGACACTGGAGCTGATTTCTCCCAGGTGACTGTGTTTTGGTACCTGTTACCAAGCCTCCCTGCACCCCACCTCCTCTTCCCGGCCTACAATTTTCTTAGAGGCCAAGTGCTAAGAGCCTGCTGAGCTTTGCAGCTGCATAGCTGCCTCTACTTCTTCCTATTGCCTGTGCTTTTTCTACCCCAGTTTCCTCACCTGTAAAATGGGGGTGATACAGTATCCGCTTTGTGAGATTGCCCGGAGGACTGGCAGGAATTATTTATAAAGACATTAGCAGATACCAGGTAAGTGTTGGTGCCGGTGTCATTGTCCCATTGTAACTAGGAGGCTCAGTCAAACCAGGTGTGACTTACCCAAGTCACACGACCCAGAAGCAGAGCTGGGGGATAGACTGGCACCTCTAGGTTCCCAGTCCCCGCCACACTGACCGGGCTTTCTGCCAAAGATAGTTGACCCCACTGGGGTACAAACCCAGGGCTGTGTAGGCCAGTGCTTGACCTCATCCAGGGGAGGACTTCAAAGGAAGGAGAGGACTCCTTCGTCTCTCCCTGCCTCCCTTCCCTGCCCCCACCCCCAGAGGAGGAGGACAGAGCCGGAGCTGTCTTCCGTGACCTTGACTAGCTGTGACAGTTGCAAAATCTATTGTCTGCCAGGTGTACCTCCCCTGTGAGCGCAGCGTGATGGGGAGCAGTCAGGCTGCAAGGACCTCTGGTCTCCAGCAGGCTCCTTCAGGGGCCGGGAGACTGGGGTCTGAGGTCTGAGAAGGACCTGCCCTGCTGGAGGGAAGAGGGCCAGAGTGTGCCAGCATGCCCCCCTGCCACGTGGCCAGACCCCAAACAAAACAACAAATTGCAAAGCACATAAAAACCCAGGGTGCCCAATTAATGTTGAATTTCAGAGAAACCACAAATAGTGTTTTAATGTAAGTATGTCCCCATGCGATATTTGGGACACACTCACGCATTAGTTGGATGTCCTGTATTTTACCTGGCAGCCCTCCCCCAGTGCCTTAAGTGAGGCATTTTGTAGTTGACAGGTGCTGTCTCTTTTAATACAGCAGCCATGCCTGCCAGGCACCTTTGGGCGCAATTTGCCTGACAGAAAACAAATGAGCTGCAAAGAGAAGTGGTTTGCACAAGGTCGGTACTTGAACTCGGGAGTGTCCAGCCCCAAAGCTGCCCTCTGTGAGGGGTATGGAAAGGGAGAGCAAGGCCACACCAATGCTACCCTCTCCTTCTGGTCCCCCAGGGTGACAGTGCCTTCTCCCTCCTTCCCTCAGTTGTGCACCCGTTCTGGTGGTTTTCCTGTGAGTTAATGGGGTTGTAGACAGCTAGGCATGGCGGTCACCAAGGGGACAATGATGATCTTGCTTGGAGTGGAAAGGGTTCCACTGGAAGCCAGAGACCTTGCACACCACTTGGGTGACGAAAATGGGGAGACTCTGGAGGAGCCCAGGAAATTAGAAGCAGCAGGGATCATGACACCCCGGTCACGGGTGCTGTGATCCTTAAAGCCTTCCCAGTGATCACATTTTCTTCCCTTTATGGCAGCCAGGAAAGCAATCAGGAATTAGACAGAAAAATGAACTTGGTGGTGCTTCTCACCTGAGAGCCACCTGGCTGGGAGGAGTGGGCAGAATGCTGGCTGGGAGTCATGAAGTGCAGAATCCTGGGCCCCCAGGCCTCTAGAATGAGCATTTGCGAGGGGAACCTGGGGATCTGCATTGTGAGGAGCCCCCTCCAGGGGTCTCCTGTGCACACACTAGCCTAGGAAATACTACTGCGTGGGAAGGACTTTGTGCTGGGTCTGTGGCTGCCTAACTCATCGGCTGTTCAACCTTTTCTAGGTTGCCTGCTATCTCTGGGCCTCAGGTTTTTCTTTTGCAAGTAAAGGAGTAAAAGTAGAAGGATTCGTCTAGTGTTCTGTGTTCCAAGTCTCATATTCTGTGGTTTTAAGAAAAGTGAATATTATCCTGGTTTTAAAATTTGGGAAGCTGAGGCATGGGGAGGCAGGGGCCTTCCAAAGACCCGTCTGCTGGAATTCAGGAAGCTATAGGCTCTGCAGTGGGGTGAGGACCAGAACACCTAGACAGTCTCAAACCCTGAGCTCACAGGCCTGAGGTGCTGTCGTGGCATGGATGGCTTTTCACTTCCTGTCCCAGCCTTGATCCTTGAGCCACCGGGCAAAAAGGCCACTGGGTTTGGGAAGCTGAGCCTGGTGGGCACAGGGCTGTCTCTGTGCTTGATTCTGGGAGTGATGGAGCAGGTAACACTGCGCACACCAGTCCTGAGAATATGTCACACGCAGGTCTCAGTGGAGGAGGCTGAACTGGTGAGGCACCCTCTAAGACCGCTCTTTCTATCCAGGACCACATGTGGCCAATCGGTGATTGCAGTGCACACTGCCAAGGAGGGGAGGTGAGCTGAGATCTTGCCTTGTCACCTTCACACATGGAGGTGTGGGGTGTAGGGATGCAAGGAAGTAGCCCGGGGCAGAATGACACAGGGCCACGCGTCATGCCTTGGCTGTGCTAGCCCTGGACCCTGGTGGGGATGGCCTCCTAGAGAAGAGCCTCTAGATTTGCCTGGAGTGTCCTGGCACTCAGGAAGTGGGGCCTTGCTGGTCACTTTGTTGGTCAGGGTCCTTCTGGGAGGGGGTGCTATGGCTGGCAGGGCACTCACGGAATGAGAATGTCGCTGACCCCGCCTGCTTACCTGACCCGACTTGGATCTCATGGGGGAACTCACCCCCACCTTCCGCGCA